TCTAGCAAGTGTTATAAACCAGGGATATTAGAGAGCTAAATCTGCTCAGGGAAAGCCTTAATTTAATAAAACATTCAGTGACATTTTATTTGTATCCTTCCTTAAGTTTCTGCTTCTATTTAGTTTGCCTCTGAGTATTAAATTCCTGCTGTAGGCCGAATCTGGCCTAAACTGATGCATGGTAATTGCAAGTTGAGTTTCAGTTTACAGACTGTGTCAATAATGACTCAAAGAGAGACTCAATAAAAGCAAATGTATGCAGCCAGGATCAGACTTGCAAAGCTCTGGGATGTCTGAGCAATACCACAGCATTTGGGAATTTCACAATTTCAGTTTGCCACATGCAAAAGGCTGGTTACAAGCTCTGTACAGAGTGGGATGTTTTGGGAACTATTTATGTTTCATAAATTAGGTTTTGTGGTATTTCACTGAAATTTAGATCATGTCTTTCCATTTGGCTGTCAGTCCTAAAACTCACTTTGCATTGCAACTCAATCGTGCAAACACCAGCAATGGGACATAGTGTTTACCATTACAGCCAGGCCCCTTCCAACTTCATCTCACCTATATCTAAATCCACAGAAATTATCATTATGCAATTTGTATTATCACCTAAAAGGTAATTTTAACAAGTCAACCTTTTGAATTGTTTTTCACTTTTGACACAGGGTCAGATTTTTCATTTTTTAATATGCTGACAATTTTTATACAAGCAATTTATACATGGCACAGAGGAAAGAACAGACACTTTGGACAAGTGCGGATGCTTCCAAACCTGTTTTAGAAAACTGGGGTGTATCAAAACCCTAACGCAAACTGAATGAAAAAAATATGGAAAAATAAGAAAAGGAGGTGTCCACACATGTAACAGTGGACATTACCAAATATACTGTAGAAACACAGGGCAAGAATCAACTTCAGGACACTTGCAAAACATTTGGTTTATAACTTGACCACAATGGTACTGTTTACTAACAACTGCACAGCTAGAATTGTAGGAACATTAATGAAGACAAGAGCCTCTCTCTACAGCACCAGACTGAATATAGACTCGCAGCAATAAAACCCCCTTTCCTAGGCAACGGGGTTAAAGCTAATAAAGGTATTTAGCAAACTTAGAAGGAAAGAAAAGAAGGGTCATGAAAGGAAAAGGAGTTTGAATTGAAATATCCAGTGTGCTTTCGTTGGTTTAAAGCTTTCTAAACTAGAAGTACAAAATAAAGGAGAAACTAAACAAAGAAGCACTGTGAAGACACATTTAGATGAAAATCAATTAAGAGAATAAATTAAATACAGTCCTAGAGCTGAATAAATTTACATGGTTGTTGAAAAATATTAAGAAGGAGGAATTCCCTTCCAGTTGAGTGGATGCCTGTCACAGAGCAGGAAGTCCCCTCAGTGACAGGCAGCCCGAGAAGTACACCCAGAGTAGTTGTGAATGAGCACTGTCAGCTAATTCGGGTCATAGGGAGAAATCTTAAACTAATAAGAGAAGAATGTGTATGGGAGGGAGAGGAACTTTCCTGAATTAACGTCCATTAAGTATCAAACAGGAGCAGAAATTTCCAATTCCTGCAAGTGTTGTTAAAACTGGAATAATGCCCTAGAAAGAGCGATTCATAGATGCGATTCAAGTGGATAATTCTATCAAATTAAAACTCAGGCACATACTTTGATGAATATACCACATTCCGGTCTAATGGAAACATCTGGCCGTACAATGCTAGAAACCGGAGATGACCAAAGCATAGCTGGGGTGGGATTAAAGGAACAGCTCTAAAGTTTACCATGGCAGCTACAAGAGCTACAAATAATTACTGTTGGGAATTAGAGCAGAATTATTTGACTTGCTGCTAAATTGTCATGGTTTAAGTTTTTAAACTGACACTTTCCTCACAACATACAAACCTCTGTAAGATGCTCAACACTCAGTTACAAGTGGTAAGGAGAGAGGAGGGTGGGAACTCGTTCTCAAAAACTTGACCTTCCTCCTATTTTCACAACTAAATCCCGGGGCCTCTGCCTCTCTCCCCTCAAATGAATCCACCCCTACTTATGACTAAAATTAATCTTTATAAGCCCATGGCTTCAGGCTCGTCTCAAATTGCAGCATGCTAGTAAAGCTATTATTCATCAAGGACGGCACATTTTGAAGTGTTCCCTGTCAAAGCTGGGTCAATACAGTTTTCAGTAGGGGGTCACATTCCTGTTTTCCTAGCCTGCGGTGAACCTTCTTGACTGAAAGGATCTTTATGCATGGAGGAGTATCTGACACAAACCAAACCGATGTGCTACTGGAGCTTTCCAGTAATGACAGCAGGATAAAGGAGGCCTTTGAAGTTCATGGAGGAGTAGGAAGAGGTGTTAATTTAAAAAGCTTGTCAGTATACCCAAGAGGAGAAGGAGAGCAAAGTACCAATTAATAATTCACACTTCTATTCCACATGTTATCATAGTATCTCAAAACAGTTTGCAAACATTGATTAAGTCTCATGACATCCCTCTGAAGTGGGCAAGCACGGATGAAGCTCTACTCCTACCAGCTGGGAAGTCACTCTGGGGGGCATTTTGTTTAGCTGATCTATGCCCCCTCTTCCCCATCTGTTAAATGGCGATAATGACACTATCATAAAGTGGTTCAGAAGCTTAGTGATTTCTAAATCAACAGTTTTAGATAGAACAGCAGCACATAAGGGCAATCTCCTATGTCAGACTACACTCAATTACACTGAACTAAAGCTACCACATTCAACACGATAACATAGCTACTGGGAAGAAAGCCCTCTAACTTGATTTTGCAATACCCTGCAGATTTGCTTTGCTCTGTCCCTAAGTAGCCAGAGCACCTGAGTTCTAGTTAATGACCAGGATTCTTGGGTACTGTGTTAACACGAAACTCATTGTAATCACAGTAATTAGATCTGCAGTAGAGAGGACTGTGAAAAATGAAAGACTACCCACAGTATCCTCTAATTCTCAATTAACACAAAGTAGTTGGTGTGTTTGGAAGCCAGGACAGACATACCCATAGCTGCAAACTCCAGAGGGAATTGTCATTTACATTCAGATGGGAAGTAGTGCACATTATACTGTTTAATCCTTGCTTTGACAGACAGGTACATGAGCATCATCCACTTACATACAGCAAAATGGAAATCCGGGGAGGCTCTGAGCTGTCAAAGGGCAATGGCAATCACACACACGCTCCCCACAACCAGCATTTCACTTTGGGAACTCCTTATTCCCAATCCTGTACTTGCACTCTTCTTTTTAATAAAAAAGCCCACAAACCATGGCTGCTCCAGTCCTAATGAGAGTTCCTTCTTGCTTGTTTGGGGCTCTTTCATGCACAGAATCAGACAGAATTACTTTGCTTAACCCTCTTACTAATCTGACTTTTCCAGAAAGACCAAAGATAAAGACAAAAGTAACAGCTTCAAGAAATACAGCTCTTTTCTTCTCTTGAGCCTGACAGTCACTTCCAAAAGCAGATTGTCATGACAACAAACAAACTGGAGGCAATCCAGCCAATTAACGTGCAAAGGAAGCAGTCATCCCAACCTCGGAAAAAAACACTGCTGCTTTAAGCTTCAGGAGCCAAAAAAAAAGAAACCCAACAAGAAACCTTACCATCTGCATTAATCTTATTAGACTGCCTTGGGCCTGTAGCGAGGAACAATTCCACCCTGGGCACAGGGGCAGAAGCAGAGCTGCAGCAGCAGCCCTTTCCTCCCCCAGAGAGCGGGCAGGGGCAGAGCCCTCTCCGGGCTCTGAGCTGAGCAGAGGCTGTGTTCCCAGGCTGCGATGGAGCTCGGCAAGCCGGCGGGTTACCAGGATGAGCACTTCAGTCCTTGTGCGTGGAGCCAAAGGAAAGAGCTCATAGGTTAGGCAGAGGAATGGATGGCACGGAAGAGACTGTCACATAGCACTGCTAGAAACCCTGTTCTGTGGGCATTGCTGTCACGTGTTTTCCCTCTTCCCCTGCGAGCTGCCAAGAATATTTATCACCATGTTAAGCTCAGAATTATTTTCTCTTACACAAAGGACTAAATCATCAGTGCAGTTAAATATTAAAGTCATTCTCCTTCAATTTCTCTAATTCCTTCTTCCTTCATACCCTGCTTTATCTCTCTCTATGTGCCCTGCTTTCTGTAGGCCCAAGCACAACACATCTCCCATGCAAATATCTACCATCTCCCATTTTTTGCCTACTCTGATCTCTCAGTATAGTAACTCAGACATTAAATGTTTAGCAGCTGATGACCAATACACGTAATTTGTTAACCTCAAGTCATTCATATATACTTAACATTTTATAAAATTCTATGGTATAAGTTACAGAGAACAAAACCGAGGAGTACTAGATGTAGACATGGCGTAAGTTAAAAAGAAAAAAAATGCCAGAGATTTTGTTTTGAGATTCCACAAGACTCAATACACAACAATTTTCAAACAAAAAATTTTCTTCCCTGTCCTCATTCTTTTCTCTAAATACAAAAACAAGGAAGGGTATGAATAAATTCTTTCACTGTAGACTTGTCATGCAGTGAAACATGCCTTTCAGAAAGTAGCAGCAATGAGGGTGTAAAGCTTTAAGCCTACACAGATTTACTCATCTGGTAAATAGACAGACCACTGAACTACTTCAAACCGAAGTTTTATTATTGATCCCTCTGGGTCCAGTCCATCTCTCATAAATCACTAAATGGATTCTCAGCAACTCCAGTGAGCACTGGATCACAGATCATAAGCACTTTCTGCAAAAGTGCATTTTTACTAATCTGGAAAAGATACCAGTCTTCAGAGCACTGAAAATTAAATGTATGCACGCACACACACACACACTCTACACATTTCACTCTCGTTATTTGGAGAATTAGGAAACCACAGCTCTAGCCAACACAGAGCAAGCCAACAGAATTGTATTTTCTACTGAGTCTGTTCTGTGTTAATTGGAGTTGGTGTGATACTGCGGAATAGAATAAATCCCCTGTGCCTACCTTGAGCACTTTCGCAGCTTTCTTCATCACTGTTGTCTTGACAGTTATTTTGACTGTCGCACACAAAACTTTTATCAATGCAAAGACCATTTTTACAGTGGAATCTGGCAGTAGAGCAAAGCAAGGGATTTGCTGCTGTGAAAAGAGAAAGTGAGACCTTTCATTAGAAATTCTCTAGCCCAGGCAGTGAAATAGCCATTAAACAATCAATCAGAACAGGTCACAAAAGTTGGTCAATTTGCTGAATATGTGGGAGTAACTTGGCAATCAAACCAACCTTGTCTCTCTAAACAGAGCGCCCTGAGATTTCTAATTCATGCAAGATTCATTACAATTAGAAGAGATTTAGTCCACCCACAGTTGTGATAAGCCTTCTGTTCACTTTCATGAGGGCCCCCATCATGATCACTGTTCAGTGCTCAGCATTTGCTCACACTGAAGACATATGGAGGGTAGTGATGCCTACCATAAACACTGCCTGTTGCATCCCATTACAACAAGCTCAGTTTAGCTCAAGTTTCATATTATAAACCAATATCCCCGGCTGAGAACTGCCAGGCAGTGTTTTATTTACCGTTGCTTCTCTCTTTTTCCACCTTCCTCATTCTCCTCACTATTTTGAATTGATACAATGGCAATGTTGACATTTCTCAGTGTTTGAATTTCAACTCCTTTTTAAGGATAATATGCACATTACGGTAGCACCCAGAAAATCCTTTTATATAAGGCCTGGTGTTGCACATAGAGCAAAACCAAAATAGTATATAAGCAGACTCATTTATGTAGAGTAGTCTTCTCACCCACACCAAAACCAGCAGTAAATATGCTGTAAGATGCTATGTTTGGTTTCATTTAAGATCCAAGCAGTGCAGTTTTCACCACTTCTCCTAGCAGATTACATTACAGCTTCAATGCATCTCACTGTCAAGGAGGTTTCCTTGATATTCATTTTAGTTTCCTCTTTCCTAATTTCATCCCTCTACTTTTAGCTATAGCCCAGCATATATAACTACATAATCCCTCCCTGAACAGTGTTTGCACCCTTCATATACAGCCTTATCTTCCAACATAGTCACCTATTAGCGGAGATATGCATAATTTAGCAGTTTTTAATATCTCCTCATAAATCAGGCTCTCTGCCCCTTAAACACTTTTGGCACTCTTCTCTGAACTCCCACCAGTTTTCGGTAATGAGGTGACTGAAACGGGATGCAACTTCCCAATTTAAATCCTTAAAAAAAGCTGTTCAGATGCTTTGTCTGCTTCGAAGTGCTTCTCTGCCACAATAACAAAGGGGATTACAGTTCTCAAATACTAACTGGCTTCCTCTTTTTTCTTCTTTAAAGTAAGAGCTGCCTTTAAAGTGTCTTAAAAAAAAAAAACATAAAACTTTAAAGTCTGCCATACATATAACCTGCAGTATATATAACAAATGCTCCCAATTCCTCCAGCTTCCCAGAAGCACGTTCACCATGAACATGCTAAATCTCCTGTGGTCTGAGACTGCTGCACATTTGCATAGCATGTTGATTTTCCAGGTCGCTTTGGGGCCTACAGTCTTGTTCCTCTACATAAGCAAAACAGCGACTAGACACTTGGATATAGTAAAAAATAGCAAGTGTGTACTTAAATGGCATAGAGAAATGGGGAGATGAGCAACATGTTATCATCGGGTGTAAGGCCCCATTGGAGCTACACACTACAAACCCATGGGAAATGATGTAATTCATAACAAAGTCCATGAGCTGGTGCATTTTCAGCTGACACTTGCCACTTTTCAGCCCACCACCTCAAGGATATTCAAAGCACTTTTATCAAAACTTCTTTCTAGTCCAGTTGTTTAAGCATAAGTAGTCAAGTAGTACTTCAGCTGATCTCTCTGCTGCGGCTTCCCCGCAAGTTGCTGATCAGCAGCTCAAGTTAGAGCGTTCACAGGCATGTCTGACTGAGAAGCTCCTTCTCTTTCCAAAAACCTGTTTCACTAAATAACCCTTTATTTGCTTTTTTGTTGTTTGAGAACATGTTTAAAAAGAGAAACCTAAATGTGCTGATGAACAAGTAAGTCATATTCTTCAGTGACAAGAAACAGGCAAATATAAATTAAACAATTTTAAGTCACATTTAATATTTGCCCACGAGTTACATTTGAGTACAGAGAACCTGTTCAAAGCAAACATGCAGCTCAAATCTCATTTTAAAAGTTACAGAGGGGCTTGAAGTATCAATCAGGCATTATACATTATACACAAGACAAGACTGAGCTGGACCTTAAAAAAAAAAAAACAAGACTGTCATTTACAAAGTGAAAAGCACAAGGATCATCTGGGTCATAAATGACAGGGAGAATATTTGACCCAGAAACTAAAGGCTAATGAGAGCTTTCTTTCTTAAGTAGTATTAAATAGCTGAAAGAAAAAGGACCCTCACTCACGAGCAGGCTCGCACTTACTGCAGTTTTCCTCGTCGCTGCCATCGGGGCAGTCCTCGAAGCCGTTGCATCGGAAGCGGCCGATGATGCAGTGGATCCCACTAGCACAGGGGAAGAACGTGGCACCGCATTTGGATTTGGCTTTTGCTGGGAGAAGATACAGGCAGAAAAGGGCAAAGATGAGGGAACCGATTTACAAAGGTTAGAGATACTTTTAAAGCAGTACATTTTAGGGTGCTCTAGGCAGTGCCAGTGGCACCGATATTAGGTGCCTTCCAAGCTCCCTATGGCCTGCTTTCAACTGATTTAAGTATTTCATGAGATTTCACTTGCTTGGGTTGATTTTTTTTTCAATTTTTATGATTTCCAGAACAACTGAAGCATTCAAACTTAAACAAATCAAATGACCTCTCAAACCAAATTTAAATTGCTCAGTGCTTTGGAGTACAAGTTTGTAAATCTGGCAAGCAGGCACTCCCAACTGTCCCTTAAGACCCACATGAATTTGACCAACTGAGAAGCAGTAGAGGAAAAATTTTACAATAGAGGGTCATACTTCACAGAAAACAAGAGCAACATTTTCTCCCCAGAATTCTTCTGATCTCCTCCTCCTCCTTTCAGTTGGAAATTCCTCTTTGCATGGAAGCCTGTTGTAAATGTCAGTGTCCCAGGCATAAGCCCAGGAGACAGACATCTAAGCAGGTCCTCAGAAGAAAAGGTTTAGCTGGACTAGTTGTAGTGCCACCCCCCAGCCTGTAGCTGTATGTCATGCTGAGTCCACAAACACTAAGTAGCAGCAAAAGTCTAGATTTTATATACCATCAAGCTTCTCCTGCCTGCTTAGAGAAATCAGACAATGAAGAGCCCAAGGCAGACAAAGATAATGAACGTGGCAGCAAGTTCAGAGAATTTGGGATCTGGAAGAAAACTTGGCCAAAGACAGGTATACAAAGAGTAAGGCAACATCCAGAGAAGGAGGAATACAGAGATATCAAGTGAGTTAATGTCTTTGTGAGAAAAAGAAACACAATAGACCTTCATTAAAGTATTTTTCAGGCTGCAAAAATTACCTCAAAAAAGAAGGTGCTATAATTAACACTGTCTTTATTCAGCATGATTTATACAAAATTGGGTGCACAAGGAACATGAGTTATATGAATTGCATCTCTTGCTGTGATTTTCTCCATCACCCATCATACAGTTCTTCAGGACAGAAACTACCTCTGTTTCATAGTACCAGCACAGCTATTCATACAACACTAAATACTAACAATAGCATAAAAATGTGTTCAACAAAAGATTACAGAATCTCATTATGATCTCAAGGACTCCACATTTTCTACTTCAGTGCACAGCAATTCCTCACTGCAAGAAGAGAACACTGCCCTCAGCTAGAGTGATTCTGATGCTTCCAGCCCGATGCTCGCGGCAAGCACCAGTTAAGTCTTGTGCAGCCTAGAACCAACCTAGAACAAAGCAAATCCCAAAGCAAAAAAACAATTTAACAAGACATGGGTAGATTTCTTTTTTCCTCCTGTTTGCTTTTTCAAATTAGCACATGACACGATGGAGCACATCACAGGACATGGAAGTCTTCAGAAATTCTGCTCTAAAGCAAAGCCAGTTACTGTGGGAGGAGCATACTGGTAACCGCAGGAAGGTGTGTGCGGTGCAGTGCAAACAGGCGGTAACACCATGTACAGACCACTGGTGGGAGAATACCAGAAAAGAAGCCAGCTCCATAACTTGCAGGCCTTTTGAGTAAATGTTCCCTACTCCTACACCAAATCTACAAGACGTGTTTATAACTCCCAGGTTTGGCGATGTGACAGATTTGGAGATCACAGCGACAGGCAGTGTTTTTATGTAGCCATATGGTACATCAATACACCAACCTGTGCAGTTTTATGAGGCCACGACAAACTCAGGGAGAACCAGAGTAAAGACAAAAAAAAAAGTACATCCAATAGGGACAAACAGCTTCAGCATTATTTTGGAAGGAATCCTCTCTTCCAGGGTTAAAAGCAAAGTGCAGCTGTAACAAAGCCTTCTTCCATCACTCAGCAGAGTGCATATAAACTGTTTTAAACCACAGCCTCGGTAACTCTCTCTTGATTTAGTGTCCTCCAAAAGCAAATTCCTGCAGTTCCTCTCTTACATGTTTCTCTTTATTATACCAGTAGTTTTCAGTTAGAATTATGACGTGTAAAATAGGATGTAACACTGAATTTCACATATTGAACTACCACTTTTCTTGAAGAGTATCCAATGTCCACTTGGGGGGAAAAAAAGTGAACCATTACTTCATAGAAAAACAGGTGATAAATTACTCTGAAGTAGCTGCTGTGCTTAACACCACTGGCAATGGAAAACCCTCAGCCAAGACATCTGAGCCTCTGCAATTCTTCACACAACTTCAAAGAGCAACTTCTGTGTTAGAGTTTTGTGGCAGCGTGATCTCAGCTAAATAATTCAGTAACCACATGGTTTGAAGCAGTAGCATACTCCTAGTCATTAAACAAAAGCAGCACAACAAACACCTCTGCAGCAGATTCCCAGAGAGTCACTGAAGCATTTGACCAATATTCAGCACACTAACCAGCCAGCCAAGCTGCTGCTGGGAGCACGTGGTAATAACACATACATGTGAAGAGGTGCCCAGTGCTTCACATACTACGCTTTTTTGTTTTCTTTGTCTAAAAGCTAACATCTTTTTGAAACCACGCACTGCATTTACACTCCCCAGACTAAATGACTGCCTCTGTACAGTTTCCTTTTTTAGAAATGTATTCTGAGCCAGAACAGTTCCAAGAAGAAGAAAAGGAGAAGAAATAAGAAGGGGAATTAACTAGGGTTTTGCCCCCATTAACATTTACTGGATCCCATTTCTTCAGGAAGATTTACTTCAGTCACTTGGGTTCTGAATTTAGGGGCTACCAACTTTCTGGCAACTAATATTCAGAGATGCCCTTTGCCATCTCTGAGAATCCTGCAAAATTAAGGTTTCAAAATTATTTGCTTCTAAAATTTCTAATATGGACTATCTCTTACTCTTACAGCCTCACTCTTCCAGACAGAAGTCTGACTGAGAACTGTGAAAACCTGAGCCTCTGGCCCCCTGAGGAGCAGGAGCTGTATGCCTGCACTAGAAGCAGGGGCAAATGCTGCAGGAGTTCTTTTTCAGGTAAGGACAGACACATGTCACAGCAACCTCAGCTGTGCTGGCCCCTAAGGCAAGAAGGATCAGAGCACATCTGGTGCATTACCTTGAGCTACTGCAGTAAAGCCACAAGCAATGTTTAACGTTCCACTACGTCTGAAGGAAAAAGGTGTTGGAATGACCAGGAACAAAGTTGAGTTTCTGGAAAATGCACTTTCTTCTGTCTAAAGCATCCTGATACCCCATCAAAAAGAGGGAGAAACCATTCAGGACAATGATTTAATGGAAGTATTACTTAGATAGCTATGTAACGTTTAGTTCAACATTTTCTCTCCAGACCTTTTCATATCTCCTTCTCCTCTTGAAAGAGCAGCCAGAGAACAAGAAAATTCTGTTTTAGAGTAACTGTTTATTGAAAGAGCACATACTAGTAAACCACAGACCAAAACCAAACACGAAACTGAATACCTTCAAATTATCTCTAAGTTTCCTTTTTACATAGTCCACTGATGTTTATTTTTTTTAAAAAACTCAAGGGAAGGATAAAACAACAAACAAAACCCAAATACAATTCTCTGTATTTGCAACAGACATGGATGTATACACAAACCAGTCCCAATTCAAACTTACATTTATATTAGACACACTGAAAAGATAAAAAAAAAACATTTCAAATGCCACAGTGATGCATCACTAGTCACACAGCTAGCCATTCACTAGACACAAGTCTCACTCCCAAACAGAACTCGATTTCCCAAATTGCAATTCCAGACACAAAATGCATTTCTCATATGCTGTGCATAAATGCACAAAAAATGAGAAACCAGTAATGGCTTAGTCCAATCCACATCCTCCACTGGGGAATTTCTACTTTATTTTCAGTCTGACATGCTTCTTGTCCTCTGGCACAGTTTTCCCAAGGTTTTCAAGCATGTGTTGTGTGGTCATTGCTCAAGAAGTTCCTATGGAAAGCACAATCATTTCTTCTCTAGCAGAAAAGCACCTTCCCACTCTGAAATGATCTCTGGAGATACCCTTACCGTGAAGGGACTATCTACTTTCTTCAGGACTTCAGCACCCTCACAAGTAACAGATACCAGGATCATGACTGCCTGTAACAGATTCATGTCACATGCTGCACAATTCACAGCACTTCTCTGCAATTCCTACTCCCGCAACATGACTTATGAAAAGGGTTTTCTTCTCATCACTGTGTCTTCTACTGCACAGGTCTCAAGTTTTCAGGCAGATCTGTGTGTGAAAAGCTTTAAGTTTATTTAACATCAGCTATCTATTTGGCTCCTTCACCGACTTCTGCCTTGATAAACTTTCAAGGACAGCATAATCTTCGCAATCTATATCCTTCTGTTACACTTGGCTGAAATGGGCTCAGGGTCATCAAAAATTACTGGGATATCAGGAAATGACAAAGAGAAGTGAAAAAGGACACAGACAAGTGTGGATCATCTCACTTCACTTAGCCTCGGTGTTATAACCAGCTAAAGGAAAGGGAAAGGAGAATTTGGTTATTTTTTAAAGGAATTGGCAAGTCCTCCTGAGCCCAGGTCTCCAGAACCTAAGAAACTGAGAGACCACACGATGGAGGGGAAGGGGTAAGGACTGACAGACACATTTGAAATACAGCAAGAAATCACACAGCAACTTAGAAAACTGTCTAAAAAATGGCTACTCAAATAGCAGATCTAGTCTGGATCCACTTGCAGAAATATAGCAAGTACAAAACCCACCCCAAATAAACTGACATTCAACCAATTTGTGAACCTATGGCAGAAATGGATTGATTCACTCCAGTTCCACTCTTCAATCATGGCAGAAGCAATAGGACTGAAACACTAGCTTGAATCTATATTTACATTACACAAAAGGGAACTGCCATGGTGTTTAGAAAGAGGTGTTGATGAACCATCATGCACTGGAGGAGCCTCCTCTGACTCCATTAGCCATGGGAAGAAATTGCTCTTCACTA